TAGCCAAAGGTTCTTAACTTATTCTTCTTTAGAGTCACAATTTCTTTTGAAATCTACTAAAAGCTATTGATTCCGCCCATGACCCCAAACAAAAATGTGCTCATAGATCCAAATCCGTCTGCCATCCATCTGTTGACTGCCCTGTTCATATACCCTTGAAGAGCATATACCCTTCTTCGGTCCTAGTGCTGCTCCAAGTGTGACCCACAGAAGGCAGCAGCAGCAGCAGCATTACCTGGGAGCTTGACTGGGTTATAAATGTCTGGGACTCACCTCTATCCTGAGTCAGAATCTTTGATGGCAGGGCCTAGAAATCTCTTTAACAAGCTCCGTATGAACACATAACATTAGAAAGCACTGTTCTGCATACTTTATCAGAGTGATGTCTTCCACACTCACACCTATAAATATATCTTAATTTGAATATCCAGATGGACTTCTCTGCTAGAATACCAGACTCATATAACTTACTTCCCACCGGACTTCGCCATGGCTCTGCCCATAGGTTCTTCAAAATTAACACAAAGTGTGAATCAAACTCTTCCTATAAAATCTGCTGTTCTTTCTGTATTACCTGTCTCATGCTATTCCTGTTATCTGCACACCCCAGAGCCTAACATATACTAGGTCTCTACCCCATCACTGTTGAATCAGTAGTTCAGTAGCATCAGAAAACACTGACTCTGTGTGTTGTCTAAGGCATGTGGTATGTCCTGAATGTAGGAAATGCCTGAACTGACCTAGAATCATCCTGCCTTTGCCATTCTTCTCAACAGAATCATTCCCACAGCATGTTCCCAGTCCACCTCCTTCTTTTTTTTTTCACATAGAGCTGATTTAATTGGACCTCACATATTTTCATTCTTCCTCAAACATCCTCTTAAACTACCTTCATCTTCCCCCTCTTTATTCCAGCTTCTCCAGTTACCTGAGAAAAATCTCCCTACCTTTTTCCCCTCTACTTGTTCCACTTAAAAATCAAAAAACACCATAATTATGATTGGTTCATATGGATTGTGAAAGTTGTATCAAGAAAAACATGAATTTCAAAGTGAAATTAGATACCCAGTGAACCTGGAACGTACCCAGAAGTGCTCTTCCTCCTCCAGTTTAATTCTGTTTTTCCGGAGACACCACTACTTACCAGAGCATTTTATTGAATTTTTTTCTCTCTTGTTTAGTAATACTGTAATACAGTTTGATATTTATAACAAAGGCTTGGCATTTCTGCTGTAGTCATAAGCAGCATAGGCCTTTGAGGGCGAGCCCCATCAGATGTCGTAACTCTGCTAATGCATTTAAAAAATAAGCATAGTTTTGTGAGAATTTTCTTTATCTGCCATTGTTTGGAGGTAAATATAAATTATATCTAAAGTTGGAGTACATGTTTGATCAATTCCTCCATCCTCACCAACTTCATGGGTTTTTTTTTTTTTTTTGTAATTATATGAAAACCACATTGTAGTCCAGACTCACATCTGAAATATGGGGTGTAACACTTTCCTCCCCAAGGTAGGAATTATAGGAGTAACACTTGAATGTAACTGCATCTCCACTTGTGTCTGGCAGAGGTTTTGGTGAAAAGGGAGCAGAGGTACCAAATCAAGCCAAGACAGCCGCTGTGAGCCACATGAAGAGAATAAATTAACAAATGAAAGCAAATTAGGTTTATTGTGCTTATTGGCTATAACATTTAAAGCCTGGAATTCAGAGGAATAATCAGCTATTTGCTTCAGTTTTTCCTGATGTAGATAACACTAAGCTTTACAGAAAAGAAGCAGTGCAATCTTTGGGGTAGAATTAAATTGATCTTAAGGTCTGTACTAAAAAGCAGCTAAGAACCTAAGTTCATATTAAAGTTCTTTAACTTCTAAAAATTTGAAATTAATCTATGGCACGAAAACACCTAGGTGTTGATACACACTTTATGGGGATATTTAAAGGTCTGTGTGTTTTAAGGGTATTACATTGATAACAGGCATCTCTCCTGAAATGTTAAGTTTATTAGTGTCGTAACTACAGAGGAAAGCAAACTTAACATGCTTGCTCTGAGCTAAAACAGTCCTAGCTTTGATGAGCAACTCCTCTATAGGAAAATTTTTGTCACGGGTTTTTGTCAAGTTTTACTTGTAGTAAGCAAGAGGATGGCACTGGGTGAGGTTACTCCTCTTGAAACTCTCACTTCTTATCTTTTTATTGATGTTGCAAAAATCATGACTAAATAAGACCAGTGAGCCTACCTCTCCATCCCTCTCACAAGCCCTTCTTTTCTTCTGTAACGTTTCGTGAAGGATGAAATGTTAACTTTCTTATCTTCTTTTAAACTGCTGTAGGTATCAAACTGGTTTGGAAATAAACGAATTCGGTACAAGAAGAACATAGGTAAATTTCAAGAGGAAGCCAATATTTATGCTGCCAAAACGGCTGTCACTGCCACCAATGTGTCAGCCCATGGAAGCCAAGCTAACTCACCCTCAACTCCCAACTCAGCTGGTTAGTTTTTTCCTTTGATTTTGGGGGGGATTGTTCTCCATGTTTATACTTGCTTTTCCTAGATGTTTTCTTTTAATTCTTCAGGCTTTTGATTGGTCAGTATACCTGTTGATTATCTTTGTTGTTGTTGATGCCACTTGGGGGTTTTCATTTCATTTCCAAAAAGCAACATGTTATACTCCTGACAAGGTGGGATTGTTGGCAGGTTTGTATTAATGTTTCTATCTACGTGGAGACAGAAGTTAATAAATTGGTTCCTTTTGATGAGACCTCTACGTTCTCCTTTCAGGGATACCAAGAAAAAAATTAGACATAATACTTAGGGATGGTGTCTCAGGACTCTATCATTTGGTTTTTCTTATCCTTGTCTATCTTGCTATTCTGACCACATCATGGCTGGGTCACCTGTCAGCATACATTCTATGCTGGAGTATTTGCTCTTCTAGCAGGTATCTCATTATAATGTTTTAAGTCTGTAAAACCAGGCTATGATCATTTCTATATATTTCCCATAGCTATTGTTCTTTATTGATTTGTTTTGTTTGTTTTCTTTATAAAACTACAAAGAACACTGGCAATCCTTAATTCAAATTATTCAGATTCCAATTCTCTTGTTATAGCATCCATCATATGCTATGTTCTAGGTTTTATTTCAGTGAATATGCATTGTATCACTAATGTCAGAGTTTAGGCTAAAAACCAGTATATTTTTAGGTGTGCCTTGTGCCGTCTGTTCTGAATTTCTACATGTGAAAAAACAAAGTTAATAATGTGTAAAATATAGCCTTAGTGATTATATGCTATGGATAGCATGTTGGTACTTTTTTTTTTTTTTTGTAAAAGAAAAACAAATATTTCCTCATTAATTAAATTATCTAGTTATGGTACTTTCCCATATTAAGCAAGAGGCATTGATTTGGGCTAGGGTGTACATCTAAGAAAATTGGTAATTACAACCTTAAAGGTTATAAAGGGTTATAAAAGGTTAGAAATTTAAATATGTTTGATGATGATATGATCGCAAATCCAATATCTACCATTTTTGAGAGGATGTGGTATCTTAGACTTCAAAGCTTGTTTGTCTACTAAAATAAATTCCCTATGTTATGGTGGCTTGTTATTGGAGACGTGTAGGGATCCACAAGCACATGCCTTCGGTGAGCTGTTTGGTACACTCATTTGTTACTGTAAGGTCCTCCAAGTCACTGGGCTATACCATCGTGGCCTTCTTTTATTTAAATGGAATCATGCACGAAGCATAGCCTGGGCTTCTTAAGCATGGATATGGTAAGACAATGCAAAATTTGATCCAGTTTTGTTGTTCCCAGCACTCCAGGTTGGATTATTACATGAAGCATATTTACTTTTTAAGGTGTTTTTTTGTTTGTTTGTTTGTTTTCTTCTGCCATCATGGTGTGATTGACAAATGTTTAAGGCTAACTGGTTCAATAACCAGAGAGTTTCCTTCTTCCCCATCTGGACAATTATTAAGCATTTCAGACCCAACAACCCAAGTTGAATTGCACTACTAAGCAGACGTTTTCACTTGTCTCTTTGGAAGAAGTAGAATTCTGTCAACATTAGCAAAAATGCACTCAACACTCCTGCAAAGGTTATCATAATGCAAAACAGATATCAAAATGACTTTTTCCTGTCCCTGATATATCTGCATCGCAGATGGCTTAGCATGATTTATGACTAGTCTTTAAAGGGGCCCTGTGGACTCCCTTCATTACTAAATCCGTAACTATTTATTCTTTCCTAAAAAGAGAAAAGTAAGCATTTTAACCCCCTACTCTGTGTTTAAGAATTACGTTGGCTCTTAGGGAATGTCAGTCTATGATTACAGTTTTCTAAGGAATTTTTCTGGTGGGTTAAACTTCATGTGACTATTCTGAGCACAAAGTAAATTATGATGGAAAGTTGCAGCTAAGCCTTCCAGTTGTGCCTAAGTCGTTGGAAATAATATGCAGAGGGACCCCTTTGTAGTGCTTTTTCTAAAGTAGAGATGGAAAAAAATACTATTGTGTGTGTGCAGTAGCATGGAATTTTGAAAGATAGATGGTCTAACAGAAGTTATAAATGAGCTTTTCTGTATTTTGTTCTGCTCTTAATCAACCTGAAACGTTCATAATTTTTAAATAGGGTGCTTATTCCATTGTATAGTAGGCCTTCGATCATTTCAAAGGATAAATGATAATTGAAATAGCAAGTTATTCAATAAAAGGTGAATATATGGAAATACATTTCAGCAGAATTTGAAGTCTGGAAATCCGGGACCTAGGAACTTTTTGTATGCTTCATATTGAAGCAGAAGTTTTTCCCTAAGCTTTAGTAAATAGACATACTCATTTCTACTGCAAGGAAGGCACTTTGCAAGCAAATCTTCTCTCTAGAGGCTTCTGTATGGAGAACAGCATTTCAGTACCACTTCTAAATATTTCTATTTGTTGATTCATACCCTGTCTCCCATTTTCTTAAGCATAATTTATAAAAATCACTTAACACTAGGACCTGTGGGAGATTAGCAAGCATTTAGAAGACATTTAGCATTCTTTATAGTTTATACCAGCAGATTTGGGTAAAACAGATGGAGGAAAAAGAAAATTAAAGGAAGGAGAGAAAATTAAGTTTTGAAAAGAGAAAGCAAAAGTGGGGGCCATTGAAACGGTAGTTTAAAGTATGGCTCCGTAATTCTTCTAAAGTGACCTAGAATGACCCATTCTATCAAGTTCTGTGATTAGCCAAGTGGTCATAGGCTTATTGAGGCTCAGAACCCCCAGAGCTAAGTTCTTTTCCTTAGTGTGTGTGTCATGGACAACCGCACACTCAGCTGAGAAAATCCTTCCTCTGGCACTGCTTTAGTCAATGGAAGCCCTTGTATGTAATCTTATGACACTGCTAACAGGATATTTGGTGTTATTCAGCTTTAGTGGAAGGTTATCACATGAAAATTCCAAATCTTCACCTCTCAGAAGTTTTTCTATAGTACACGCAGTTAGGAGGTAATGCATCCTTAGAAGTGGACAGACCCTTTAGTAAATCCCCAGGAACACCTATAATTTTGTTTTTGAAAACCAAGTGAAGAAAGTTATCCCATTGTTTCCTCATGTTCTTTCTATGTTTCTCATCTTTATTTTCAAGTTGGAAAATGAGGACAATTCCTCCTGGAATTGGAACTCTAGAACCTTCATGTGCACTTCGATTGTATGGTTTTCTCATTGAACCAGACAACCCTTTACTCTTCTACTCAGTTGAAAGTAGCAGTGAGTTGGGGAATTTGGAAGGGGAAAGGGAGAAGCTAGCATGAGACATAATGGAGCTTACCTCTAGTAAAGAGAGTCTGTTTCCACATGGGATGAAAGCCCAGTCTAATTAGGATGACCACACAATCTGTCTGAAGCTTTGGTTTCAAACTACAGAAATTAGAGTGATGTTTGCTACGTAGCTACTTCATGATACTTGCTGTAAGAAGTACTGAACTCATATTCATAACACATTGAGTTTCTTAAGAGGAAAAAGTAATCCGTCCTTATTCTGAGTCATTGGTTCTTAACTAGGAGTGAATTTATAGCCCAGGGGACATTCAGTAATGTCTGGAGACATTTTTGGGTGTCATAATTTTGAAGGGAGGGTGCTACCGGCATCTCTGGAATAGAGGCTAGGGCTGTTTCTAACTACCCTATAATGCATGAGATCTTCCCCTACAAGGAAGAATTATTTGGCCCAAAATGTCAGTAGTTCCAATGTTAAGAAACCCTGCCCCAGATGTAGGTTTTATCATTATTCAGTTTTTTGGATTATGAAGTAAATCGATTTTTTTTCTTTTTTTTCTTTTTTTTTTTTTTGAGGGGCGTGTGTGTGAGGGGGTTCCTATACACAGTTAAGTCTCCTGAAGATTCTTTAGAGTAGAAATGCAATGTTTAAGAAATTGTTTTATGAAAATGGATGTTAACACATTTTCACATCATGATGTTCACCCAAGCAAATGCATTAGAGCCATAGGTGATCCATTATTTCTTCTTTGTCTACGTGAATGAAGATTTAGCTCCATAGATGCCCCTAGATGTCTGGGTGGCAGTTTAAATGAGCCCTGGGCCTCCCTTTCTGAGCCAAATTCAGAATCTTTTAAGCAAGAAGCACATCTTCAAAGGTGCTTCTAGTAACTGCTAAATACTTCACAGCAACCTCCAAATAAAGTTTCTGGAAGACCTTCTCGGCAAGCCAAGTAGTTCTGCCATAGCTCTTTGCAAATCCACAGCACCTTCAGGAGGGTCCATGCACCATTTGCCTATGGATTTTTTACTTCCTGGGAGGTTATCCATTCCACAATAAGTTCTTTCCAAATTCCAGAGCCGGGTAACATACACGTTCTTCCCCTCCTTGTTTAGGTTTTCATGTGGTAGTAGCGGCACCCAGTCTCTTCCTTTGGCGCCATCATTGCCTCTAGATACCTATCAGGGAGTCAGAGCCATGTGGTGTTGTACATGGGTGCCCAGAGACGATAAAATGCTGAACCAGCACAGCCAAGAGCACAAGGGACTCTTTTTGCAATTACTGCTCTGATACAAATGCATTTGTACATGGAGTACATTTATATGCGCATATTTATCTCTGTGCACATTAGGCAGCCAGACATATTTACAATTTATCTATGCACATATATTTTTTAAATCATCTGTGTCAATTGCAGTGTACATCTTGTAAATGGCACGTTCCATGCTTTTCTGGTTCCATGGAGGCCTGGAACCAGTATAGCCCTTTGGGGCTTCTCCCACTGCTAAGTTTCTGTGGCAATTTCCAACAAACCATCAGCCAAGCATATACCACGTGTGTGGATAACATGGTGTTTGAGTGAGAGAGAAATAAAATACCTGAGCTTCAAACTGAGCACTCTTGGCAAGGGATATCTGATGACATATAAACAATTGATAATTTGGGTTGTTGGTACTGACTCTTGTTGGTTCTGATGACATCTAAATGTGAGAATGACATCCATTACAAAATGGCTTTTATTATTTAGATTATACCTCTGTGATTACAAAGAAGATTTGAGAGGACTATAACTAGTATGGAGAGGCCTGGGTATTCTATGAAGATGGGTCTGTGCTATACATGGCTTTATCCGTGCGTTTAGAATGATAGTTTCAAAGATATGTCCCACATTCCTGGAATTTATAGGCCAAAGTCTTCATACCCCTGACTGGGTATAAGCCATACCTGCTCAGAACTCATGCCTGTTTTTCCAAGACCCAATTTTTCTGATTTCTTTCAGATAAGCTAAACTGACAAGTGTGGGCCAGACGGGATAGGATAGGTTGCAAAGCTAGGGAGACGGCATAGTCCTTTGGTTTGAGCCTGAGTCACTCCCCAGCCACCAAAGGAAATATTTCTTTTTTCCTGCAAAAGAAGGAACAAGGGAGTTAGATGGAGGATCAGCCAGCACATAGAGCAAAATAGCTAGTATTTTGCATGTGGATATATATCCCAATGAATGAAGAAAAATGGGGATTTTGGGGGTAACTTAGAGGTTTCTCCAAGTTTACAAATTATCTAGTTTTTCTACTTGGCTCTTGCCTTTGAAGTATGAAGATACTGTGGATAGTTAAGCATAGAGCACAGTGTCAGAGTTTAGAATTTATCACTTGATAAGTGGCCCTTCTATGGAAAGAAAAGGGAAGAGAAGGAGAGAGAGAGGGAGGGAGAGAGAAGAAAGAAAGAAAGGCCTTGTTTTCTGCTTAGCTGCAGCTCCTCCTATGGGGCAGGAAAGCTTTGGGGGAGAGCTCAAATCTCTACTTTGGGAGAAAACAAAGAAAGTGTCAGAGCTGAGGCATGAATCATTGTTGGGCGATTCCACACGGATGATGGCTGTCTCAGAACATGAGGGCAAGAGCACAATTTGAGCAATGTAGGGTTGGGAGTAAGAGAGTGCAACTGACCTGGGTCCCTAAGGTCTCTCCTTTTCTAGGCTAATGTCATGTTTTAACCAAACCTTGCACGTTGAGCTTTCTTTCCTAATGCGCTGAGCTGCACGATGACACTTCAGAATACTATTAAGCTTTTGCAAGCCCTTATGTTTAGGGTGAGGATGTGGTGACAGGACGCACCTAAAGGCTAACTCTTTGGATGCTGCTTCCATGTCTGGGAGGTGAACTCAGATGATTGCTTGCCCCTCTTGAAGCCTATTTATTATTACTATTACTATGATTATTGGCCGCATTCCATATTTCATGCATGTTTGAGAATTCCTGGCCCATAAGTTATTTCATCCTCTTTCATACCAGCAGGTGGCGGGGAAGGTAGATTATCCCCAAATATTCTTACAGTCCTCAGTGTTCCCTGGGCTGTTTTTCACCCAGCAAGGAACTTCACCTTCTTTCTAGAGGTGAGGGATGTCAGTAGACCCATCTCAAGGGCCAGCCCTAGTGTGTGACATTACCTTCATGCACCTTCTCTCTGGTGCTGCTTCCCTGGGAGAGGAGACAGTTTTAGCAATAGCAAATTTAGAATCCAGTGAAATAGCTTGTATGCTCTATCATGGTGGCAAAAGTAGCATTGACCAGCCCATAGTCTGTGTCTTGTGGTTCCCTGGCCAGCCCTAGAATTTTAGAGAGATCCCAGGTCTGGAGACTGCAATCTGCCAAGAAAAGTTGAGAAGAATAAATATTCCCTTTCTCAGCTTGGAGTTGCTAAGAGGAGGCAGTTCCGTTAGCCACTTGTAGTCAGGTGTGGCCTTACGTAACATAAACGATATGCACCCTTTATTGCTTGCTCTGTTCTTCATGCTACTAACCAGACTCTATTGATATTATGTTTATTTTAGTTTTTATTTGAGGGGTTGCTTTGCATGTCATTCTTCCTCTTGGCCATTAGTCGCGGGGGTCGAGCCTTTTCCTTTCTGTGATTCAGGTGCCTCACTCTTTCCTTTCCAGGTTCTTCCAGTTCTTTTAACATGTCAAACTCTGGAGATTTGTTCATGAGCGTGCAGTCACTCAATGGGGATTCTTACCAAGGGGCCCAGGTTGGAGCCAACGTGCAATCACAGGTAGGGACCCAGCCAATACGCTGCCAGGGGAATGCGCTAGAGTCCAGGAGCCCTCAGTTATACTGGCAGTTCCTGCTTGTATCCAGAGAGGGAGAGAGATCAGAACCGAAACCATACCGACAACCCAACCCAACCGAAATGAAGACAACCATTGTCGTGGGGAATCTGGCCCACACTTTGTGAGTGCGTTTGGCTCTGGCTCAGCAGTCGCGCTAGGAAGCAGGAGAGAGGCAGGAAGGGAAGCACAGGTCAGGGTGGCCAAGGCACATCAGGTGACTGGAACCGGCATATTCTTTGCTCACCAAAGGCAGAGCAAGGAGTTCAGGCCACTGTCTCGATTCCCAGGTCTCCCTCTCATTTGTTGGTTTTCTGTCCTCCCTGTTTGCCAAATAAGGAGGTAACGGATGTGTAGGCAAGTACATTAGTATCTCAGGTTCTCATTTTAAGCTTTAAAAACACCTAACTGTGGTGACTTAACTCATCGTGTTAGTCATCCTTGAGGTCAAGGGATTTGGGTTTCTGGTGATGAGTGTGAGTCTACTTTGGGAAACAAAAATTGAATCATGTGATGTCAAACAAACCTCAGCACTCCACAGTAAGCGGATGGTGTCATGACCTCTCAGGAAGCCTTCCTACCCTCTCACTGGGAAGCGTGAAGTGAGAGGGGAAAGAGTCTGCTCTGGGTCAGAATTATTAGGGAACTTCCGAGCCATGTGTCAGTCCAGTTCCCCACCCTCCACACAGGAAAGAAAGCAGGATGTGCCTAGAATAGACCTGCTGGCCGGTGATTCAGCCCCTTGCTCAGGCAACACTGCCTGGAAACATGTTTGAGGTGATAGGGTCAGTCTTTGGTCAAGTGACTAAACAACTGGCCATCACTTAAGTCCTCAAACACACATACACACACACACACACGGGTACATACACAGCTCTCTCTGTGACATGGCTACCCAAACCTCCTCCAGACAGAACCGAGACTTTTATAAGATACTTAGTGAAGGAGAAGGCAACTTAGGATGGCCAGGAAAGAAAAGTGGGGAGAAGGGAAAATCGCCCCACTCCTTTTCCTTAGTGCCCTTTGTTATTCCAGTCCCGACTCTCTCACCCAGTACTGTTGAATAGTTTCAGTGTTGGGAACCCTGGTTTTCCTTTACCATTTTTACTGTGTTTCTTACTGTACTAAGAACTGACCATGGGTTTGGCAGATAGAGGAGGTGTAGCCTCCTCGTAATGGACGCTTTCCCAGGAAGACTATCTCTAAAACAATTGTGTTAATACGGTGTGCCAAAGGGGGCCTGCGTGCTGACCAGCTGCCTCCCTTCCCCTGCGCCTCTCTGACTAACTCCTCTCTGTTGTTGTTCATCTGTTTAGGTGGATACCCTTCGCCATGTTATCAGCCAGACAGGAGGATACAGTGACGGACTCGCAGCCAGTCAGATGTACAGTCCGCAGGGCATCAGTGTAAGAAAACAAGGCTTCCCTCCACCCTTTGTTTTTATTCTATCACTACCAATTATTTCAAAGCCATAGGGCCCAGAATGCCACTTAGTAGGACTTGTCTTAGCTTTACGGTCACCTAGTTTCTTGTTTCTGTATCGGTCATGCCATCGGCAACATTCTACCCACAGAAAAAGTGGTGATTGGGCAGGCTTCATGCAGGCAGCTGGCGTCTAGGGCTGTCAGACGCAATCAGTGTTTGCATGGCACCTGCGGCCACATGCGTTCAGCTAGAGGAGCTGCTAAACAGGTGACACCTAGTACAACAGTGGTAGGAAATGTCACCACAAGCTGGGGCCTGGGAACCTAGGGAAGAAAACCAATGGCCAAAATCCAGGGCATCTAGGGTCTGCGGTCTTGAAAGAATAACCTTTTCCCAATCTGTCTAGGGATGATTAAAAAAAAAAAAATTAACACAGTAGCTGGGTATGTTGAAGGGATGGGGAGGGGTGCAGACCATCTTCTACTTGTTCTTGGGTGCGCTGGCGGCTCCTGACTAGCATGAAAATTCATAGCGACAAGCTATGTCGCACAGAGTGAAATCGATCAGACAGACACAAGGAGAACCGAGTGTAGATTTGGGACAGCAATCCAACTTGATTTCTCAGATCAATCGTCCACTATCTCAGCAGCGGTGACAGCAAGCTGGGACAAGAGGGGCAGCCTGGAAAAGGAGGCTGTTTTTTAGATCAGGGTGATTCCTGGGTTTTTAGAGGTCACTAGAGGCTCCAGTAGGAATTACTGGCTCACAACTAGCAAAGAAAACTATCGTGGGTTGGCGGTGATCATTTTTTCTTATTTGTTTCTGTTGTTGTGATGAGTAAATTAGGGATGGAAGGAAGGAAAGGTGGGCCTGATTTATTAATGTGGTCTTAGACTGTACTAACTGAGGTCTAATATCTGCAGTGAAGGAGGGGATGGCCCATTTGAGTCTGCCTTGGTCAAGCTGTACGTGATTCTAGCCTGCTGGGGAGAAATCTAGAGAATACCAATACCACCTGTTCCATCAGATGAAGAACAGTTGAAAGAATCAAGAATTCCTACCCCATGAAAGAGAAGGTTTGGGTGGTATATAATAGTTTTAGACACACTCTCATCTGTGAGAGGGATTAGATTCATCATGAATGACCTAAAGGCATAGCATGGAACAGGACTGCTGAGTAGCAGATTCAGAGAAAGAGATTTCACTTGAACATTTATGGACTTTTCTCATAGTCAGAGTTCTCCAAAGAATGGATTGGCTGCCCTTAGAAGTCAAGAATTCACCATTGTTAAATAACATGGTTTGGCTAGCTACTTGGTACAGATGTTGTGGGCAGGAGTCAAACCCCGGATTGCAGTGGTCTTGGTGACCTTGAAGGCCACTCACATGAGGAATTCTTTACTTTCTACCTTCCATGGAGGGAATTCCGTCTAGGTTTATATAATACTTACCCTCTGGGAACAGAGCAGAGAGGTCCATGTTAACAGTATTAAACATATTCTGGACAATCATATCCCTTTCCAGGAAGGATTTCCAGAAAGAGGGATTCTTCCCATCTTGTGCTATGTTTGCAACAATATTATTAATAACTTGCGGGGAAGCCTGTTTAGAAACATACAGGAGACCATCATGGGAAAAGATATTCTTAAAATGAATAAAGTTGCTCTGGTTTGTCTGAGTGTGCAGGTTTAATAAGCGATATGCGTTTATGTATTTCCTAAATCTTTTCAAGAAGGAAGATAAATTTTTCCAGAGGAAGCTTTGTTCTATGCGTAAGTAGAAGAGAGGAATGTGAGAGAATATAGTAATGTGAGGACTAGAATATGGGAATGCTGAAAAGAGACCTGAAGAAGGTCGCAGGACTGGGCAGGAAATGGGGTTGACATGTTTTTCTTTCCTAATTGGGTAGCACAGAAGAGAACAGCAGACAGACTCTGGAGGGGTCAACCTTGACCCCCGTGACATCATTTGTTGGGCTGGGAATAATATCTGAAATAGTGTAACCAAACATGTGCAGACAATTACGTCTGATTACATAAGCCTACCACAAAAACTGGGCTTAAAAATGCCACTTGAAAGAGTCTCTCATTTTGCATTAATTTCTCTCTCTCTCTCTCTTTTTTTTTTTTTTTTTTTTTTTTGTGAACTGCGGTTATTTTCTTCCTGGGTCTTTAATATGCAGGGTAAATGGGTCAAAAGCTGATCATGATGTGTTCTTCGATATCAGTTTTAAATTGTACCACCTGTAGGAGGCTCAGTTAGTTATAGTGAGACATATTCTTAGATGATGGTGTTGGACGTTGAGTCATGGGCATGTATAGCGTAGGACTGTGGCTGCCAAGGGGAGAGAGGGAAAGAGAGAGGGCGGGAGGGAGGAGAGACAAGAAGAGACAAGGAAGGACAGGAATGAAACGCTGGAGCCAAGAAATAAAAATAAACAGCCCCTAAACCCGAGCTGCAGTGGAATTCCCAGCCAGGCTCTGGATTATGTTTCGTTGGGTAGAGGACATTTTCTGGGCAGCCCTTATCCACTCTCCTGGCTTAGTTTTCACAGTCCCCATATCTTATCCAACCGGTGTCTATTTTAAATCCCATCAAGTTCAGGCCACTTGCCTCCAAGTGACTACACAGCCAATAGGATGGCCAGGTGTAGCACAGGGTCCTATAAAGAGCCAGGACACCAGTCCCAGTAACTCTTGTCCCCACAGGCAAACATCACGTCTCTCTGCTATAAAATAGAGCCAGTAATTCTCACCCTTCACACCTCCAGCACTGCTTTAGGGAAAATGAGAAAATAAGCAGGAAAGGGCTTGGCAAGGCATAAATTATTCCACGTGAATGCAGTGTGAAATTTTATAAGTGGTAACTTTCTAATTTGACCTTTTTTTCCTCTTGTGTGAGCAGTTTTCCCAGTAGGGAGTGCCTAGTGAGGACAGGTTAGGACATAGTTGTCACTTTTCCCCCCCTTCTGATGGAAAGGTATGCTTTTGAGATGGATATAGTGTTTCTCCAGGTCTAAAGACCCCCTTCTTTAGCCACTGTGAGAGTTAAATTATACCTCCTTAAGTACTTTGTGTTCTCATATGACAACGGACAATACTTGCTGGGTTTAGAGTGGCTCTAAGTAATGGAGGGAGATTATTCCACTTCTCTGTCAATCAGACATACTTACAGATCACTTAGCTATCACATTTGTTCCTTTCCATTCCCACTGCCACCATCCTAGTGCTAGAAATAGTTCATTAACTAGACTATAGTAATAGCTTCCCAGCCACTGCTGCTGTCTTCAGTTCCTCTTCTCTCCCACACACATCCCCTGAATTTTATCATTTCTTGCTCGGAAATCACCAGTGACTCCTGTTTCCTACCCAAGCAAGCTCAAACCCTGAGTCCCACATTGAGGGTCTTCCATGTCTGATTTCAGCATACCTGTCCTTTCACCTCGTCCTCCCATCATGGAAGTATACTCCAGATGCCATTCAGCGTGGTCAGCTCACCTTCCGCTGGCTGTGTGCCTTCCCCTCAGTGTGGTCAGCTGACCTTCCCCTGGCTGTGTGCCTTCCCCTCAG